CAATATATAGATGGCAGGAAGGCTTATCCTAAAATACCTAGTAATGTTGTTTATTCTCACTGTTGGTGTGCTAGATGTGTCTGTAAGCCACAAACTATATGGTATATGAGCTCTCAAATCCTTTCCTATTTCAAAATGCTGCATAGTTCTTTAAAATATACCTATGTGTTATGGTTTATATTTGGATATCTCCCCAAAGCCTCATGCAGGCAGAGGGCTTTTTCAGAGTTAGCTGACTCTAGAGTATGTGACTGATTTGAAGTGCAATGCTGGCATTAAGGGTGTGAGTGCTGGCCTACTCACTTGGTCTACAGTGGGTAGCCTGCATACAATATAAGGGACAGAGAGAGGCTCGTCCTCTTCTACTTCTTAGCTTGTTGTTTTACTGTCTTCCCTAGTCATAAACAGTCGCCCCTCTGCCATGTGCCACCCTGCCTTGGAGCCAACCAATTACAAACTAAATCTTCTACAAACTGTGAGCTAAATAAATCTTTAACTGTGGATGTTGGGTATTTTGTCTCAGCAATGAGGGAGAAGTCACTAAGACAGTATGTTTTTAAATATGATGAAAATAATTTCTTGCAGCTACTAACAAACTTCTTCACAGAAGGGCTGAAAGGAAGGGACTTCTGGAGCAGTCCTGTCATGGAAGTTGGGGTACACAGTGAAGAGAGAAGAACCCATGGCATTTGTGACTAGTGTCAACAACAAAGTAGGCCCAGGCACAGTGATGGTATGCAGACAGGCCTGTCTCTTTCACCACTTCAAGCACTCCAAAGGAGGTATAGCTCTCTCACTGCACCATTGCCCATGGGACCATGCCTGTCACACCAAATATGCAATATATTGAGGACACTGGCTGACACAGTTCACTAGGGCAAGGTGAGCTTCACAGATGTCACACAGGCTCCATCTCTCTAGGTAAGGAAAGAATGTGAAGCCTAGACTTCTGCTGACATATTTTTACGTGTTTTCAGATATGTTCCCTCGTTTAATCATTACAAAAGCCCTGGGAACTAGGCAAGAAGTAGTTTACATTTATAGGCCTTGTCCCAGAGCAGGAAACCAATGTAGGAATCAGGTGGCTTACAAAAGGGCACTTCATGGCTTCTCTTTGAGGAGGATACTTCCAGGATAATAAAACTCATTAGGATAAACTTTACAATAAATCTAAATGCTTCTTACATTTACACACACACACACACACACACCCTGCACATGCTTAGGGACCTAGAAGGAAAAGCAAGGGAAGAAATGGAATTGAAAATATCTTTTCATAAACCTAGTAACACTAAATTTGAGAAATAAAAAATATTTTTCTAGAAAAAATTTTACTAGAAGATATGAATATAGTAAAGAAATTCAGTAAAGAAAAGGGCTCAAAAAGAAAATTAATGGTACTATATATTACACTGCGCTTTTTTTTTTTTTTTTACCAACATAAAATTTGTATCTCTACATGAAGTTTTTTGGGCATTTTATGGATTCTGCTACACTTGGAAAATAAATTTTATGTTCACAAAGATTTTAAGTAGTCAAACCCTACATTTTGCAAATTAACAATGTAGTTTTAGACAAAATTTTTGAAATTATGTTTTAGAAAATGAATTGCTGGTTCATCACCATAAAATAACTATTTTATTTTATTTTTTTGAGACAATGTCTTACTATGTAGTTCAGGCTGGGATTGAATTCACTTTGTAGCTCCTGCTGACCTTGAACATACAGCAATTCTCTTGCTTCAATTCCCCAACTGCTGAAATTATAGGCATGAGCCATCACATCCTGCTCTTTGCAAGATTTCATTCACCTTTTACCAATTGTTTTTTACCATGTGGATGTCTTTTTTTGGGGTGTGTGGGGGCTGTTGTTTTATAATATGGCAACATATTCACATGTGCAATGTCTGACTTTAATACCTTACAAAGTTTTTTCAGATTATATCATCATAATCAAAATCTGAATAACTTACTGAGTTACTGTATTCTCTTTTAAATAGTTATGTTACTTTATGTAATCATTCTTTTAGTCAAAAAGGCTATAATTTTACTAACATATATAATACTTAAATGATTATAGCTTCTCTCTACTTCTGTTTCTTTAGCTAAATTCCAAAGTATGTTACAAAAATGGACAATTTGTAAGCCTTTTGACATATTCTGCCAAATTACTTCCCCAAAAGTCTTAATACACATTATAAGCAATGAGTGAGGCTTACTCTTATCAATAACCAGCAAAATATTCTGTATCATTTACATTTAGCTAGTAAGTGACAAGTATATACTTACTATGCTAATTTTATATTTTCCTCAAAGAATGAAAACTTCTCTACTATGTTTACTAACTAGCTGAACTTCCTCTTTTGTGAATTGTTACATCCATTATCAATTTATCAATTGACTTCACGTGACTGTACTCAAGTATTTTTTATTTTAAAAGAGAAAAAACAGAAAAATCTAGAAGTGAACGGTCAAAAAAGAAAAAAAGGAAAATGACAATAACAACAACAAACAATAGTAATATAGGATTTCAAAACAAGATGATAGGAATCTAACAGCGGTTGTTACATTGCATATTGTTATCTTCAAAATAGTTGCTCAGATATAGGCATGCAATATTGATCAAATAATATTTTCCCTCTGAGTAGTTTCTTTCCCTTTTACCATATCTATGTAACTTTTGGATCTTATTTACTCTTTCATTTTCTTACAATAGTGCGACAATATGGTGTTTACACATTCAAGTCTGATTTACTTCACTTGTGAGTATGGTTTCTAGCTGCATCTATTTACCTATAAAAGCTTCGAGTTTATTGTTCTTTGTGATTGAGTAATATTTCATTGTATAAAAATACAACATTTTTAAAATTCACTCCTCGGTTGAGCATTTGGATTGCTTCCAAAATCTGGCTATTACAAATTGTACAGCTATAAACATAGGTGCACACTGTGGTATGATGTTGTTATAATCAGGGGTTGTGAGGAGAACAATTATAATCAGGACATAGAATTTATATTATTTTGTGATGGTCACTCAGAGTTAAACACAAAAAGTACAGGAAATCTGTCCACAGCACTGAAGATCCAGAATATTCAGCCAAGGGTCTGGATCCCACAACAATGCCCTGCATGAGTACAGCTGAAGAACTACAGCCCATGACAATGCCTCCCATGAGTCCAACTGGAGGTCTAGAGTTCATAACAATGACTCATTCCAGTCTGTTTATGGATCTGCTTCGAAGGCCGAAAGGTCAGTGGTGGAAGCCAGAAAGTCTATGCCAGTGGGATGAAGGAGCTGTGCCAGTAGGGTTAGGGTTCTACACTGAAGCCAAGAAGTCGTGCTCAAAATAAGGACCAGAGCTGCCCTGAAAAGTACCGCAGCTGTCCTCAGCGACAAGTAGGTTCTGAGCTCCTCTGACAATGAGAATAGCCGAGTATATGCCAGGAAGCCAGTGTGACAAACTTCTCCTGGAGATTAAACAGCACATATCTTCCCTTCCAGAGCTAGGAAGCGATGTTCAATGTAAGAAGCAGAGCTCCCTCAAAGTGAACCACAGCCACTCTCACCGACAAGGTCCTGAGCTCCTCTGATGCTAATGGCCGAATTCAAACAGGGAAGCTAACCATGACAAGCTCCTCCAGGAGAACCAACAGCTGGAAATAGCAACTACTTAGGAGAACCTACAAGGACTAGCTCTTTTCCATGTCTATATTTATGCTGGCAACTTTCCTTGGGTGGGCCATTTACACTGGGCACCATGCTGATTTAATTCAGCTGGTGTTCAGTTGATTACCAATTTTTAATTCATAACAGGTGGTTTCAATTCATCTAGGAAAATACCCAGAAGGGGAGTGAGTAGCTGGATAGAATGGAACCTTTAATCCTAGTTTTTTGAGGAATCTCAACAATGATTTCCACAGTGGGTGTACCAATCTACACTCCTACCAATGATGGAGAAGGGTTCTTTCCCCCCATAGTCCCTCCAGCATTTGTTATTGTTAATTTCTTGATGTTAGCCATTCTTTCTGCAGTGAAATGGAATCTCAATGCTGTTTTAATTTGCATTACTTGAGTGACCAATGATGTTTAACATTTTTTCATGTATTTATTTTCCATTTGTATTTCTTCATCTCAGAAGTGTGTATTCATTTCAGATGCCGATTTTTGGGTTGGGTCATTAAATTTGAGGGACCTGATTTTTTTCAATTCTTTTTAAAAAAATTTTTATTTAAAGAGAAAAAAAAAGCAAAACAGAAAATAGGGTAGAAATAATACAGAATTTCAAAAAAAAATAAGAAATCACTAGTTGATAAATTACATATTGTCTTCTTAGAAATAGTTGTTCAAGTTACAATATTAAAGCATACAAAGTGGACATTCAAACAGTGAAAGTGCAAACAGTTCTGTTCAATGATCCAACAAAAACTTAGTAATATGGTCATCTATCTTACACACGTAAACATACATGTAATTATATCCTTTAGAGCACTTTCTTTCCCTTTCTTTTTTACAATAGCAATTACACATTTTGGGTCTTATTACTTCTACAGTTTTTATTACTTTTTACACTAAAGACACAATATGATATTTACAAATACGATTCTTATTTATTTCATTTATGCGGATAGTCTCCAGTTGCCTCCATTGACCTATAAACTTCATGTGATTTTAAAACAAATCTATATGAACATTTTATAAAATTGAAATGTTAACATTTTAAGTTTTACCTGGATAGTTTTGCTGTTCTTTTCCTTTGATTTTGGGTTTGCTTTTGTACTGGCCTCTACACTTCCAGTCTTTTTGAGACAGCATCTCATTATTTGCTTGAATTTGTGATCCTCCTGCCTCAGCTACCCAGAGTATTAAGATTATAGGTGTGTACCACCACTCCCAGTTTCTTTTGTGATTCTTTAAAAGGTTCTTGGACCACCTTTCTCTCTCCTGCTTCCTTTCTTCTCCACCCCTGTGGTTTTAATATTACTCACACTGAGAGACATTACCTGTTGGTCATCAGGAGTCCATATGCCACATGTGATTTGACTTTCCAAGTTGATCTCAGATGACCAGTGTCTTTGTCCACTGACAGAACCAACCAGGACAAACCCATTGCGATATGAAATAAGTGCTTGAGTCCCATCGTGGCTCCAAGTGAAATCACTCACCTTCAAGACATATAAGAAGAGGGGTCAGTTTATAATCTGAAAGGGAAAACACTTTTATCAAAGCCTATAGTCATTATGTTAGCCTTTTGGCTAAGATAAGGATGTCCTAAAGAAAACAATATACAAGGCATTTGAAAAACTACAGTAAAAATGACTGCAATGAAATACAATGTCAGCACTATTATACATGCTTTGTGAATTTACAAAGCCCATAACAACATCTATGGAAGTATTATCTCCTCATTTATAGAGAAAACTAAAGCACAGAGAAGGGTCTAACTGACTTATTCTTAGTCACAGTGGGGTGAGTGGCAGAACCAAGAATGATTCTAGGATGTCTGGCTTGAGGGTCATTTTTTAAACACTGTTTTTACAGTCTCTTAATTATTACAATTATCAACAGGTTCTTCATTAATATCTGTTAGTCACTTATCAAAGTAGTAAAGCTCTAATTTCTGATTATATTTCTTTTCAGTCTGGCTAACAATATTCTCTAGATCAAAACAAAAGAACATGTGCTTTTACTGAATCTATTCAAATGAGCATTTTTGTCCTTTTACTCTATTTTGCTAAATTATTTCTAAGGATTTCCCAATACTATACCATCTTTGTATACCTGTGGATAATGTGGACTACTATATAAATAATTAAGGCTAGGCTGGGGGTGTATACCTCAGCGGTAGAGTACTTGCCTGACATTTGCAAGACTGGGTTTAATCCCTACTGCTGCAAAAAGTTTAAAAAAAAAAAAAAGCTACACATTTGTTTCACATTACCTGTTTAACCATGTCTTACAGATTCTGATATATGTTTTCATGATCACTCATAGCTAGTATTTTATAAATGTCAATTAAATGTATTCTTACCAAGAGCTATTTAACTATAATTTTCCAAACATGCATAGGTTTCCTGAATTTCTCTTTTGCTGTTAGCATCTAATACAGTCACATTGTGTTCAGAGATTCAGGGCATACAATCATGATACTCGCTGTTGCAAATCTGCTGTGGTTTTACTTATGTCTAGATTGGGGATTGCCTGTCATCTATCTTTATATATCACACAAACCAAGAATGGTTTTAAGTGGGTAAGAGAAAATATCTATAGCAGAACAGTATGTTGTTAGTCATAAAATTGCAGCACATTTTAATGTTTATAAAGTTTATCTGATCAAGTTTTTTGAAATTTGTTTTCTCTTCCACCATAGTATACACATTAACATACCTGATTTTGGCTCCTGATCCACAAAACATAAAATATTCATTATCTGCCTCTTTATAAAAAAGGTTTGCAGAATCTTATCCAGGAACATGATCTATTTTTGTTAAGCGGGAAAATGCATATTCTCTAATCAGTAGATATAGAATCTATATACATTTTTGGGTCAACTTTGTTAACTGCATTGCTCAATTCTTTTATATCCTGCTGCTTAATATTGAAGTGTAAGTAAGTCAATAGATTTATCAACTTTTTCTTTCAGTTTTATTCATTTCTTTAAAATATTTTGAAGGTATTTTAATAAAAGCATATGTATTAAAATATACTATTTACTACTGTCTGGTAAGTGAAAAATTTGTCTTTATAATACTAATAAAGCTGTAAAAGCTTCATTTTTTCTTTGACATTTACCAGATGTATCTTTTCTATACTTTTATTTTAAATTTGTACATGTCCTTAAGTTTGTTGTTTTTTGTTTTGGTTTGGTTTTTGAGATAGACTATGTAGTCCAGGCTGACCTTGAACTCACTATGTAGCCCTGGCTGACCTCAAATTCTTGGCAATCCTGCTTTAGCCTCCTGGTTGCTGAAAATACAGGCATGTGTCACCACACTCGGCTGTCCTTAAATTTTAAATATGATTCTTAACAGTCTGTATCCAGGTGCTGAGGATACAGCTCAGCAACACAGTGCCTGCCTTGAAAGTGCAAGATTCTGAGTTTCATTCTCAGTTAAAAAAAAAAGCCTATATCCAGATTTTCAAAAATACATTAAGCTTTGTAATTTTATTGGTGAATTTAGCCCATTTATATGTATTCTAATAATGGTTTATATGTATTCTAATAATAATTTAGGGAATTCTATTTCTACTAGCTTAACTTTTTACTTTATATTACTATCTATAAGTCACTTATAAATGAAAATATTCAACTTTCTCTAAATCAGAGATATTGCTAGGCATATCACATTTCAAGAAATAAAGAAATTAACAAACAGCAAAAGGGCTTAAACTTTTTGGCTGTTTTCCCGACAGGCGCTAAGGATTTATGCTGAGTGATCCGCAAAGTCTCCATACTGACAATGATACGACCTTGTGAGATACCTCTGGAATAGCTGCTCTGTTACCGAAAAAAGTTTGCGCAGGTACACTCAGAACCTTGACTTCATTTATTATTATGCTATCTACTTTATCTTAACAACTCAGAATAGCATTTTTTTTTTTCTCGGAGACAACAAATTACATTCTGGAATAAAATTTAAAAGTTCTTTCATTTCTCAAAAATATGCTATTATTTATATTCACTAAAACTATGTATCTTAGACTTGAACTAAAAGGACAAACAGTAATACAGCACTAGAACATATATCCAATTAAAAAATGCTTTTTGATGATATCAGTAATCAAATCAGTTGTCCCATATTTACGTCCTTAAACATTTGGTACCAGTGATTGTGTCAGGTTTTTTGGCGCAGTTGAGAGACACAGACAGAAAAGCCTTTATTGCCGGTACAGAAGGGCTTGGTAGACTGCAAGGACTCCCAAAAGAGACAAAACCAGGAGTTGCTTTTATGTGATTGGGATGCAGTGGAGACTATTTGAGTGGACAGGTCAATGCCTCGGGAGAGGACTGGAAGACCTATTGCACGCGTGTGAAAGGGAAGGGGGAAGATTAATCTGAGACTAGAAGAAAAACATGGAAGTCAGTGTAGGTGAGATACCCTGTTGTTCTGGGGCTTGGTGCCATGTTAAGCAGGCATCATGTTGAGCCGGACAGATTCCCATACAAGTGGAACTCATCAGATTTAACTCACAAGCTCGCACTTGCCAGGCAGGCACTACGCCACAGAGTGGTATCCTCAGCCCATATTTATCATCTCTTTGTGATAAAAATACTCAAAATCTTTTCTTTTAGCATTGCAAAATATACAGTACTTTATTATCATTTGTAGTCACTCTATTGTACAGTAACACACCAGAGGCAAACTACCCTGACCTGGTGGGAGCTTTGGAGCTGCAAGGCACATTAGCAGCAGCTTTCTCCAAGCAAGGAGGTGAGGAACTAGCATGGGAAGAACTCCCATAAAACAGTCCTTTCCAAATGGATGCACCCATAGAAGTTTGTTTTTCCTGGAGATGGTGATAAGAAAACTTTGGTAAAAAACCAAGTTTATGGATGATCTTGAAGATCAGTCATGAGACTGATCAGTCATGAGCCTCCAGGGTCCGAAGCTGCCCTACCTAGTTACCAGGATGTTTTGCTGCTGATAGCACAATTTAGAATGCAGTATAAAGTTGCAAAAAGCACAGAATCGACACAAAGAAGCTGAAACTGTACAGTACGCTGAAATAGAAGATCACCTACCAAAGCTTAAACTTGAAAATCCAAAATTAAGTTACAATAAAAAAAAAACAAAAGAAAACAAACAGCTTCAGAAAAACCTGATAATTGCATATTTGTTGCAAGAAGCACATGGTCAACATAAAGAGGCTGAAAGAAGTGCTGAGTATGAAACTGAAAATTCCAAATTAGAAATTCTAATAGAAAAAGAAACAGGAAAATCAACAGCTTCCAAAAAATCTGTTGAGTACAAACATGGAGTTATTGTTTCTGAAAAATACAGAAAAGAAATGTTTAAAACTACAGAATGATAAAAAGAAGATGGAACAAGAAGTAGTAATCCTCAAATGTCACACAGCAAAGAATGTGATAGAATGTGGCAAAGTACAACAATATAAACAGATTGAAGAAAGAGCAAGACAAGACTTAGGAGAAAAATTAAAACAAGTCAATCAGACTTTATACACACAAGCAGAAATAAGTCAGATGAAAGTAAAAATTAAATGTCTGGGAACAGCTATCTGAAATGAAGTCTCAAGAAAAGTCAAACAAAATACTACTGAACATGTATCAGAAAACCTGTCTAGAGGGTTCCAAATTACAAGATCATTGTCAAATCAACTAAAGATGGCCAATGAGAAGCTAGAAGTGGCTGTTAAGAGAACCTCTCATGGAGAAATGGGAGAACAGACCTTTACTGGGCACTCATAGTGCATGGCCCTGCCTTTGAGCATCCTTATGCTGGGCTCATAATAGTAGTTTGGTTCTCAACCAGGGATTTATTCACTGGAGCAAGGCCATACTCATAAGTGAAATAAATCAGATTCGTACGTATAAATATCATATTGTCTCCCTAGTGTAAAAAACTGAAAGAGTAAATAAGATCCAAAATATACAACAGATTAAAGGGAAAGGGAAATAAACTGCTCAAAAGGAAAGAACTGAGATAGGGAAAAGGAGAAAAGAAAGAAGGGAAAAGACATATATATATATATATATACACACACACATATATATATAAATTATATTACTAATCTCTATTAGTTCATCAAAAATAGTTTGTGCTTTTATTGATCATTTTTTCATGCCTATATTTTGTAATCTGAACAACCACTTTGAGGATAACAATATACAATATAGTAACCAGTGTTAATCTCCTTGGTTTTTTTTTTTTTTTAACTTATTTAAAAGGAAAAAGAGAAAAAACAAAAACAAAACAAAGCAGTGTAAGGGTACAAGTAATACAGAACTACAAAAAAAAAAGGAGTAAGAAATCACCAGTTAATAGATTACACATTATCGTCTTAGAGATAGTTGCTCAAGTCACAGTATCAAAGCATACAAAGTGAACATTCAAACAGAGAGACTGCAAACAGTTGTGTTCAATGATCCAACCAAAAACATTAATATGGTCAGCTATTTAACACCCCTAAACACACTTGCAGT